GGGGTCTCTTCCAGGCTATCTTGGAGGGCCTGGGGAGGTCTGGGGACGATGTTTTGGAGGGTTCTCCCACGGGGGAGGTCTGAAATGGCTTGTCTTGGAGGGTCCAGACCCCCTCCCTTTTATTACGAAATCTGGAGTATTCGTGGCCAAGGGTCGACGTGGCCAGAAAAGCTTCGTCGCCCTTTTTTTTTCGGCCGTTCCTGATGCCAGCGCCCATGGTTGTAACAGCGCCGGCGTCTGGGGGGAACTGGGGGCACGGGTGGGGGGGTGGGGGGGGACAAGCAGGGAGAGGGTCAAACAAGGTGCGCTCATCCTACCCTTCACCCAAATCCCTTCCCATTGCGCTGATATTTTCTCGATCCGCCGACGCGTTTCGCGGCGGACCTGGAACTGCACAAAGGACAACCATCGTAGGTAGGTAGGTCGCTCCGCGGAGCGCGGGTCTGCCCTGGGCCGAAGGCGACAGCAGCGCGGCTCGCCAGCTGCCGCCCTCCAGCACGCTCGCCAGGCGGCTGCGCGACCCCTCTCAGAGGGGAGATGTAGACGTGATGGCGCGCGGGCGAGCTGGCAGGCGGAACGGGGGAGGAGAGGAGAGGCGGGCGGAGAGGGGGAGGAGAAGACAAGAAGGTCGAGGAGAAGAGTGGAGGACGAGGAGAAGGGGGAGGAGGAGGAGGAGGAGGAGGAGGAGGAGGAGGAGGAGGAGGAGGAGGAGGCGATGTAGACGTGGTGGCCGCAACCCCACAGTGCCATGCCGATCTGATCTCGACGGCGCAGCGGCCCTGCGGGCCCCAACCCTGGCCGAGCTCCGACCCTCGATCCCGCCGCTGCCCGCTGCGGGAAAGCCCCAACAAGGGGAGGCGAGCACTGCCGCGAGGGCGGGCACTCGACGAAGCTCACAGAGAAGGCGAGCACCGCCTCGGGCACTGCCTCGAGGAGGCGGGCACTCAGAGGAGGCGAGCACTGCCTCGAGGGCGGGCCTCCCTGGGGGGAGCCGCTCCTGCACCAGCCGCCCTCGCGGGGCCGTGCCTCCACGCAGGAGGAAGCGGGGGGTCAAGAGCGGGGCCCCTGCAGCGGCGTGAGGCGGCGACGTCGGCCTGCCCGCCTCGCGCGCGGGGGCTGTCCGAGGGGGCGGTTCCTCGCCACGCAGATCGTCGCCCGACCTCCCCGCCGTGCGCTCCCTGCAGGCCCGGCCGCATCCCTCGCCCCCCCCCCCCCCACCCAGGTGCACCCGACGACGGGCGCAGGCAATGCACATGCCACCCTGGGATCCTGCTTCGATCCTGCGCCCGACTCCGCGAGCGGAAAGGGGCAGGCGCAGTGGAGAGGGACCTGCTGGGAGAAAAAAGGGTATTAGAGGTGATGCGAGTAGGTGCACCCAGGGCGCCAGCTCCCCTCCTCCTTTCCCCTTCCCTCCCACATCCCCATTTCCCTCCCCTACACCAACCCAGTGCCCCCCCCTTCTCGCATCCATTCTCCACTCTTCTGTTGCATGTCTAGTACCTCACCTCAAACATGGAAAGGTGTCTGAGGCCTAGGTGATCGAAATGCCCGTGACAAAGAATTCCCTTACGTGCAAAATGTGAGGATGAGGAGGAAGCGGAGAGGGGGAGGTGGAGTGGGAGATGAAAGAGGACGGGAGGGGAATACAAAGGGGATAATCACGAGGAGGAAGAAGAGGAGTAGGAGCATGATAGCTGAGCAGAAAGAGCGAGGAGGACGCGGAGGAGTGGCAGAAGAACGGATGCGGATGAGGATGAGGACGAGGAGAAGGAGGAGGGGGCTGGATGAGGAGGAGGAGGAAGATGAGGAGGAAGTGGGAGAAGGAGGAGGAGGAGGAGAAGAAGGAGGAGGGAGGAGGAGGGAGGAGGAGGAGGAGGAGGAGGAGGAGGAGGAGGAAGAGGGAGGAGGGAGGCGGAGGCTCAACTGCATCGGGCCAGACAGGCGGCCGCCGTGGCCGCCCGGGAAGACCGCCCGCCTGCGGCGGTCGGCTCGTGGTGTCGGCACGCCGGCGCAAGCCAGGCCGAGGAGCAGCGGTCGGGCGGTTGCGTGTGACCGCCCGCCGTCCTACGATCGCCCTCTTGTGGGGGCCCAGAGGAGCAAGCTTCCTCCTCCGCGCCCTCCTCTCGTTCTCCATCCCTCTTCCTTGCAAGGTAGCTTCTCCCCGTCGCACCACACGGCGTGCCGCTGGGGCGGGCCCGGGCGTTCCGCCTGCGACGTCGTCACGGTTTCTGACTTCGGAGCTTAGCACCTCCAACATTTGAGAACATGGGGCACGGGTGCTCTTCAACATGCGGCTCTCGCCTTGGCGCCGCGCGCACTCGTCGTGAGCAACTCCAACAATGTTGCGGATGGAAGGCGGTTCCGTTTCAACAAAAATGGGCCTCTCGCCATGGCGCCGCGCACACTCGCCTTAAGCACATCCAGCAATTACACGGATGGAGGTCCGTTCCGCTTCCAAATGGGGTTCCCGCCTGAGCCTGTCCCACATTCCGTGGCCCGAATTGCAGACAAATTGACCAGCTGCAAGGATGGAGGGCGATTTCTTGTCAAACGGGACTCTCTCTGTATTCAGACTTGCCGTGGTTGTATGGCGAGAGCATTACGTGTGCGCAGCGCCTGCACGGACGGGCACGGACATCCTCTTCAAAAGGAAGTCCTCGCTGGACACTTCCTTGAACGTTTATGGTTCTGCCTATGCGCATTTTTCTAGGTGGGGAGAGGAATGAGGGAGGGCGAGGATGAGGATGAGGATGAGGATGAGGATGATGAGAATGAGGATGAGGATCATGATGATGATGATGATGATGATGATGATGATGATGATGGTGATGATGATGATAGTGATGATGATGATGATGATGACGATGATGATGATGATGATGATGGTGGTGGTGATGATGATGCTGATGATGCTGATGATGATGATGATGATGATGATGATGATGATGATGATGATGATGATGATCATGATGATGATGATGATAAGGAGGAGGAGGAGGAGGAGGAGGAGGAGGAGGAGGAGGAGGAGGATGAGGGAGGAGGAGGAGGAGGAGGAGGAGAAGGCGAGGAGGAGCAGGAGGAGCAGGATGAGGAGGAGGAAGAGGAGGGGGAGGGAGGGAGGGAGGGAGGGAGGGAGGGAGGGAGGAGGAGGAGGAGGAGGAGGAGGAGGAGAGGAGGAGGAGGAGGAGGAGGAGGAGGAGGAGGAGGAGGAGGAGGAGGAGGAGGAGGAGGAGGAGGAGGAGGAGGAGGAGGGAGGAGAGGAGGAGGAGGAGGAGGAGGAGGATGAGGAGGAGGAGGAGGAGGAGGAGGAGGAGAGGAGGAGGAGCAGGGAGGATCAGGAGGAGGAGGAGGAGGAGGAGGAGGAGGAGGAGTCGGAGGGAGGAGGATGAGGAGGAGGAGGTAGCAAGGAGGCAACGCGGATCTTGTGCATACTTGGGTCTTGCCAGACTGACAGGCCCACGGGGCGCTCATCTGCCAAGGGGGCGGGCGCTCCCCGCAATCAAGAAGAACACCTGGAGGAACCCGTGGGTGCACGGATTTCCCCGGGGCCGTAATTATTCGACCCGAGGAGGAGGGGGAGGATGAGGAGGAGGAGGAGGAGGAGGAGGAGGAGGAGGAGGAGGAGCAGGAGGAGGAGGAGGAGGAGAACGGGTCGCCTAAGCCCTTCGAAGAAACCCTCCACCTGTGGGGGGACCTGGGGACGGCAGGGTGTACTTCAGAAATGTTTATGCATCTGTAGGGGAATAAGCAGTGACAGAAACATAACAACTCGGAGGTTCGCACGGATTTCTAGAATCCGCGCTGGACCCCCCCCCAGCGGCGCCTCCAGCGCCGCCCCTGGCGGGCTCCGTGCGCCAGGGAGGGGGGTCCAGCGCCGATCCGAGAAGTCCGCGCGAACCTCCGAGTTCTGATGTTTGTGCCATTCTTCGTTACCCTTCTCTTGGCTTCACTCCTGCCCCCCCTGCATCGTTGCCCCCTGGTTTTCGGGTCCATGGCTCGGGTCTCCGCCGGCCGTTCGGGACGGCTCGATTCCCTTCCCCCCGCCCTCGGAACGCTCTCGGCGAGGCGCGGCTGCCGGGAAACCCGTCGAAGATCGACGAACACGTCAGAACATCTCGAGCCTCGAACCCGAAAATACCGAAACCTTTGATTTGTCTGCGGAGTTCTCCGCGGGGACCTGCGGGGGCTGAGACCAAAGGACACACATCAACCATAACTTCGCGCGTCCGCGGACAGCTCCTCCCCCGCCTTCACCTTTTTCCTCCCGCTGTTCTTCCTCGTCCTTCTTGTCCTCCTCTTCCTCTTCGCCCTCCTCCTCCTCCTCCTCATCATCCTCCTACCTCGCCTGACCCTTCCTCCCTTCCTCCTCCTCATCCTGGTTTTCCTTCCTCCTATTCCTCCTGCCTCCTTCCTCCCTTTCGTCAGTTTTTTTGGCTCCCTCCACCAGTTCCTCCTCTTCCTCCTCCTATCCTTCTCCTCCTCCTCTCCTTTTCCTCTGCCTTCCTCTGCGACCCCTCATTATAATTAGTGGCCGTGGTCGCCAACGCGGTGGTCGTGGCGTGGCTCTGATCGTGGTCGTCGCGGTCGTGGTCGTGGTCTTGGTAGAGGTCGTGGTCGTGGTCGAGGTCGTGGTCGTCGTCGTCGTCATCGTCGTCGTCGTCGTCGTCGTCGGCGTCGTCGGCTTTGTCGTCGTCGTCGTCATCGTCGTCTGCATCGGAGTTGGCTTCATCGGCGTCTGCGTCGACGTCGGCGTCGGCGTCGGCTTCGTCGTCGTCGTCGTCGTCGTCGTGGTCGTGGTCGTGGTCGTGGTCGTTGTCGTGGTCGTCGTCGTCGTCGTCGTCGTCGTCGTGGTCCTCGTCGTCGTCGTCGTCCTCCTCCTCGTCCTCGTCGTCCTGGTCGTTGTCGCGGTCGCCACCGTCGTCGAGGTCTTCGTGGTCGTCACTGCCGCCGTGGTCGTCGTGGTCGTTGCTGTCGTCGTCGTCGCTTGCTTCGTCGTTGTCCTAGTGGGCCGGGCTGCCCTTCGCAGACAAGCCGGCGGGCGGCGGCGAGCCGAAGCCCGCAGGCGCCGCGGAGGGATAGGGCAGCCCAGCGCCCTTGGGCGCCCCGCCGCAGCAGACCTGGCGGGCCTCCTCCTTGCTCCTCGCTCCGCGCCTCTCTTTGCTCCGCACCCCTGCTCGCTCCTCGCTCTCCTCGTCCTCGTGCTCCATTCATTTCCGTTCTGAACAGCTCCTCCCAGTCACACCTCGAGGCCGGTTGAAGGGGCGGGTCGGACATCTCGCCTGAGACTTCCTCACCAATTAGGATCCTGGAGCTTTTTGATAAGCACCAGCGTTACAGATGGAGGGCGGGCCGCCTCCAAAATGTAGCTCTCGCCCTGGCGCCGCGTTCAAATTGCGAAAGCTTCACGGATTGATGGCGGGCCGTTTTCAAATTGTGGCTCTCGCCTCAGCGCAGCGCGCGCTCGTCTTGAACATTTGCAGGAGTGCTACGGACTGACGGCGGCAACTTGTCAAAATGTGGCTCTCGCCTTCGCGCCGCGCACATTCGATTTAAACAATTATAAGAGGTTAGGATTCGCGTGGTTAGCGTACCAGAAACGGTGTTTTGGAACGATTCAGGATTACCAAGGCACAACATTTACATTGATTCTCGGTCTTGAAGTCCCAGGAGTGGCATGCTGGCACGATTCATGATCTTCAAGACGCAAACAGTAATGTTGATTCGTGGCGTTCTAGTCCCGATAATGGTCTTTTGGCACGCTTCAGGACCTTCAAACGGTTGTCTCCCAACGGGGCACTTCTCCAAGAGGAGATGAATCCTTATAGGGGCCTATTCAGAAGGAGCTCGGAGGGAGGGTTATTCCGACATCGGTCGTGGCCCTTGGGTTCACACTCCTCCTCCTCCTCCTCCTCCTCGTCCTCCTCGTCCTCCTCCCCCTCTCCTCCCCTTCTCCACTCCTCCTCGCTCCTCGCTCCTTGCTCCTCCTCGCTCCTCGCTCCTCGCTCCTCCTCGCTTCTTTTCCATTTCCTCCTCCCTCTCCTCCTCCTCCTCCTCCTCCTCCTCCTCCTCCTCCTCCTCGTCCTCCATCTCCTCATCCTCCTTCTCGCTCCTCACTCCTCACGGAGACTAGGAGTGGAGGAGGAGGAAGAGGTGGAGGAGGGGGAGGAGGAGGGATGGAGGGGGGGGGGGGACTGGGCAGGAGGATGAATAAGAGGACTAGCAACAAGGGAGGATGATGATGACGAGGTGGTAGTGGAGGGAGATGAGCGACAGCACGAGGAGGGGAGAGGGGGCAGGAGGGGACGGAGCACGATTGGAAGGAGGGGAAAAAGGAATATGGGAAGGAGGAGGAGGAGAAGGAGGAGGAGGAGGACGAGGGGAAGGAAGAGGAGGATCGCGCTCGGGCTCGTGGAGTTCGCGTGTCTGCTTGAGTCGAGCGGCTGGTAGCGTGGAGACCTCGCTACGTCTGGAACTCCGAGTGGCGCTTATCTGCAAAACAACGACCTTGCTGGCGACCTCTTCTGGAGGAGGAGGAGGAGGAGGAGGAAGAGGGAAAGGATGATGATGGTGGTGGTGATGATGGTGACGCTGATGCTGCTGTTGCTGATGATGGTGATACTGATGAATGATGATGACGATTATGATGCTGATGATGGTGATGATGATGGTGATGATGATGATGATGATGATGATGATGATGATGATGACAATGGCGGTGATGACGATGACGAGGATGATGCTGATGCTGATGCTGATGCTGATGATGCTGATGATGATGCAGATGATGAGTATGCTGATGATGGCGATGATGATGCTGCTGCTGATGCTGCTGATGATGATGGTGATGCTGATTATGACGATGATGATGCTGCTGATGATCATACTGATGCTGATGATGACGATGCTGATGCTGATGATGATGGTGATGGTGGTGGTGATGATGATGCTGCTGATGAAGATTATGCTGTTGCTGACGATGATGATGCTGTTGATGATGGTAATGAGGAAGACGAGGAAACGTGCGCGGTACCAAGAACGCAGACTGTGATCGAATTGCCCCCGGGCGACCAACGAGAACGACGAGCAGGGAACTTCTGTGTCCGCCAGCCCGTCGCTGTGCGCCTCTGCTCTGCACTCTACGGTGTCCTCGGCGGGGGGAAGGGTGCAGCGGGGCAGATGCGGCAATCGGAGCCTTCCTCATCTGTTCGCGTGGCCCTCCTCGGTGGGGGGGGATCCCTGGCCACCCACCAGGGTCGCCATTTGACGAGGGGCCCCACTGTCAAATGGCCCCCAGGGGGAGGGGGGGATCTTGGGTCAGAACACCGCCCCACAGGGATCTCCGTCTGACAGTGGGCCCCACTGGCAAAAAACCCCGAGGTCCCCATTTGACAGGGGGCCCATTGTCAAATGGCTCCCAGGTCCCCCGTCGACAGTAGGCGACACTGCCAAATGGGTCCGTAAAGCCGCCCGGTTTCACGCTTGACAGCGGGCCCCACTGTCAAATGGCCCCGAGGTCCCTGTTTGACAGTAGGCCCCACTGTCAACTGTCAACTGGCCCCAAGGTCCCCAGTCGACAGTGGGCGCCACTGTCAAATGGGCCCCAAGGCCACCCCGTTCCCCGTTTGACAATGGTCTTCTCTGCCACATGCCCCCCAGCTCCCCGTTCGACGGCGGGCCCCACTGTCAAGCGGCCCCCAGGCCCACGAGGCTCCCACGAGAGCTCCAAGAGGGGCTCTAGAGCGTCAGCGTCGGCGTCGTCGTCGCCGCCGCCGCTGCCGTCGTTGTCGTCATCCCCCGTCTGGGTCGGCGGCACCGGCCGTCAGGCCTTCTCAATTGGAGAGTTGGGCATGCAATCGTGGCAATTGCATGTCCCCGGCCGTGATGTCTTATATCACCACCTCGTCCCCGCCCCCAAGAATAACAGAGCCTGCGCCCCCGCCCCCCGCAGGAAGCCTGTCCGAAGGCGGTCCGGGACGACCCCCCCCCCCCAGAGGCACCAAGAGGCCCCCCCAGGAGGCCCCCGAGAACCCAATCAGAAACCTCCCAGGAGGCCACCACGAAACGCCCATGCTAGGGGGCCACGCGTGAACCCTTCCCCTACCCCCCGCGATTTCTGAAGGGGAGGGTGGGGTTCACTTCGCTTGGGAGCTCCCAAACGAAGTGAACCCCACCCTCGCCCTCAGAAATCGTGGGGGGTAGGGGTAGGGTTCGCATGTGGCCCCCTGCATGCTTTACGCGGTCCCGGCGTGCAGTCCCCGAAGCCGACAGGAATGACGAAACCCGCGCCAAGCCGCCCCCTGGAAGGCTGCCGAGATCGGGCGTGCCATCTCTGTGGCCAGTCCTGGTGCTCCAGGCCGCGCCTGGCCGCAGCGGCGAGGGGCCCCCCACCGGGGCACAGGCAGAAGCGAGGCCTCCTGGACGGGGTCCGACTACAGTCGAGGCGTTGACCTAAGGAACCCTAAATAAGGAACGAGGCCCCTATTTTCCATAAGTTCAAACTTCGATTTCGTATCGAGAATCTAAGGAAAATCGAAGGCAAGCTGCGAAACAATCAAGGAACACGGAGCCCCTCCCCAACGAAAAGGGTTCCTTCTTCAGGGCCCCGACTGTATGGGGTCCAGAAGCGGGTCTTGGAGGAACGGGGTCCTGCAATGGTTTCTCCGCTCTCGGGACCGCGGGTGGCGCACTCCACGGGTCCCGAGGGGGCCGGCAGGGAAGGACGGAGGACGAGGAGCAGGTCCTGGGAGAGCCCCCGGGGGTGCCAAGAACCGGCTCCCTCAAGACCCGCTGCCCCGTCTGAGGGCTGCAGAGCCCCAGAGCCGCCAGACAACGGTGGTGGGGCTTGGCGAGAGACCCAGGCCCAGGGAAGATGTCCAGGCCTCCAGGGATCCACGTCGTGAAAACGGCACTGCATGCGCCAGAGGTCTGGGTATGGGCTGTTGGCGAAGTGTGAGAAGGTCGCGGGGCAACCCACCTCACCTGGGCAGAAGAAGGAACGCGCCGACATCTGGCCCTCAACAGCATGGAACCTCTTCGTCCGATGACCAGGACTTGACGAGTGCGCAGCTTACGACCGACCTGTCCTCAGAGTCCTGGGTGCCCACCTGCTCGACGAAGGCGAACGTGGTATAGTAGGCCACGGTGTGCACCACTTCGGCTGCCAGGAGGAACGTCACGCCCCTCTCCGTGGAGACGACGATGCCGTCCTCTGGCAGAGGGCCGGGCAGAGAAAGCGAGGGTGGGGAAGGGGGGGCGGGGGCCACATCCCCAGACCTCCACCGCTGCGATTTGTTCGCCCCGTGGGCCCCCATATGCTGAGGCTTCGAGCTGCGCGCAGACAGCCCCCTCCCGAGGCAATCCTGGCCTCGAAACCGGCCCCACGACTAGTTGGGGGCAGTCTCAGCACCCGGACCCCGGGGCGCAGAGCGCTTTCCGGGGCGCCGCCAGGATGCTGAGACCGCCCCTGGCCACTCGGGGGGCCACCTTTTTTTGGGTGGGGGGGCAAGCGTAGCGAAGCTGCCAGGCGAACTTCGAAAAACATATTGGGATCCCCGCTGTTCTCAAACGTCCAATGCCAATTGTGCGCAATCCGATGCCATGCCCTGGCATCGTCCGACTTGGTTTCTTCAACCCACGGCCCCAGGACTTCCGACCCCTCCTCCAGGGGTAGCGGTCGCCCCCGCCACAGGTTTGACTGCCCCGGGGCCCAGTCGCGAACCCCTCTTGGGTCAACCAGACGCTCGGAAGGTCGAGACGAAGGCAAGGCGGAGGTACTGAACAAACCCACGACGTTACCGACAAAAAACAGTCGAACCAAAAGAACAAACGAAAAACCTCACCTTCTCGCGTCGTCAAGAAACTACGACAGGCAATGTGTTTTGTTGCCGCTTTCGGTCTGCAGGGGCCCTCATTGGGCACTGGGAGCGGCAAATGCGATGCGGGATGAAGAACCGGTCCTAGGGAACAGGTCCAGAACTCCTGGGGTCTACGATGTAAAACAAAAAACACGGCATCAGAATTATGGGAACGTCTGGGTCGGCCATCCTCCCGGTAAATAGCCAGGCAGAACGAGACGACGTAGATACCCATGGTGCAGACGTCGAGCATTGACAACTTCTTGAGCACCCTCGACGCCGTCAAGCACGAGCAAGCCTGCACGCTGGGAAGGAGGATCAGCAGAATGCAGATTACAAGTGCACCCTCTGCAAACCATCAGCCTCGCACCAGCGGCAGCGTCCCTGGCACGGACCCCCGAGCGGGCATCAGAGCCACAGCTCTGCCAACGCAGCCAGAGAGAGAGAGAGAGAGACAGACAGAGAAAACAACATTGTATACATATATACATATGTAGAAAGAAGAAAGAGAGAGAGAGAGAGAGAGAGAGAGAGAGAGAGAGAAAAAAAAACAACAACAACACAGAGAAACAACACACAACAAACATATAAGCAAACGGAGGCCAGGGTCCCGACGAATTGACACGGCCTGAGCGCCTCTTGCCGCACGCACTGCCAACAGCACACGCGGGCAGCGCGCTCGCGGCCGCAACGCACACGGCGGCAGGTGCCAATGGGAAACCGGGTCTGCCTCGGAGGCCGCGGGGTGCTCGGGGCGGCAGGGTCCGCCGAAGCTGCCTGCTTCCGAGGTCGCAGGGCCCAGCAAGACCGAAGACGGTCGGCCGGATGTTTTGTCCGATGCTGCATCTTGCGCACGGGTTGACACTCTTCGCCGCACCGAAGATTCACGACGGAGCGTTTTCGCACATTGTCGGCCTCGATCCAGGCCCTGAAAGAGAAGGGGGGAGAGAGAGAGAGTGAGAGAGAGAGAGAGAAAGAGAGAGAGAGAGAGAGAAAGAGGAAGAGAAAGAGAGAGAATAAGAAACCGCGCCTAGACGGTGCACTGGCAAACTACGGGGAAACACATGCGACTGTGAAACATGTAGGACTCAATCAAACAAGGTCGCGTGCCTCGCCAGGCCTCGGATTACAATGCACAAGCATGCTAGTGCAGCGCGAGGGTGGACGGCAAAACACCAGCCAGGGGAGGGAGGGCGAGGGGAAAGGGGGGGAGGGAAGGGGGGAGGGAGGGAAGAGGAGGGAAATAATGCGCCTAGACTGCGCACTGCTGCGCCGCAGCCGAAAGCAACTCGGAAGGATCTTGCAGGATGGTTTGCAACTTGTCGTGGTCCCCGTCCGCAACGGCCAAAGCTTGCGCGTGTAAATAGGTCGTCCATTGTAGTCGGAGCCGTCCACGCGAGCGTCGGGCATCCCATCTCCGCGTTAACACCTGGTGTGACTGGTAACTGTCGAACACACTTGCTCTTGGGAGGCTCGTTGGTGCGTGCCGGGCGAGATTTCCATAATGCTTGGGCTGACTTCTCTAAAAGAATAACTGATAGGGGTCTGGCGTTGGCGATTCCACGAACTTCTGCTTTGCTCACTCGGGATACACATACTGCCAAAACCTTGAGTATTTGTCGCCGGTACCTTGCCTGAAATCCATCGTCTACCTTACGAGCATGCACAACTCCAGCCCATATAACAGCTTCGACAACGCACATGCCTCCAGTATACAGTCGGGGCCTTGACCTAAGGAACCCAAAATAAGGAACGAGGCCCCTTTTTTTCCATAAGTTAAACTTCGATTTTCGATCGAAAACATAAGGAAAACCTGAGGCAAGCTGCGAAACACTTAAGGAACGCGGAGCCCCTCCCCAACGAAAAGGGTTCCTTCTCCAGGGCCCCGGCTGTACAGTGTTTCCGGGTCTTGTTATGCTTTTGGCTTCACCACAGCTTCGTGTGCGCTCGGCGCGAGGCCTCCTGTCGACGCTTAGCAGGCCCCTTTAAATAGACCGCGCTACCTTGGCACCGTATTGATTCACCATCCGGTCCAATACTACTTGCGTGCGAGCGCATTTGCGACAATACGGTCTCCGCCGATTTCAGCTCCAGCCCGTGCACTTTTCCAACTGCAACCTCCAAAGTCAAATGTGCTTGGAATGCGTCGGGGTCCCTGGAGACCAGCACGGTGTCGTCTGCATACAGCACGTCTCCGGTGACCAGGTCTGGTTGGGTATCCCGACAGGGTTTCTCCTCAGCAATTCGCTTGTCTACATTTTCGAACAAAGCCGACATAACGATGATGCGCAAATGCGTCGATAACGGACACCCTTGTGCGATTCCAGCGGACCGTATTCTCTGCGATGATGTCGTGCCTCCGTCTCGGACAGCCAGAAACCGATCCGTCAGAAATTGATCCATCCGGGATGACAACCCAATCCAGATGGGGTCCGGGAGGGGTCTGGGAACCAGTCATAAGTCGGGCATGTCCTCCTAAATACAAGCGGATTTTGGACGAAAAATGAAAAATACTCACACAATGCCCCCAACTAATCCAAAAATAATCGATCGTCCACCGACTATTTGTTGACTGTTTTTGAATATTCAAGGGGCAGGCCCGACTTAAGACCAGTCCTGAGCGGACCTCGAGGGACCACGGCGACGACGGCGTCGTCGCCGTCGTGGGAGGAGTCTTTGGATGTTCCCGGGAGGCTGGCCTTGCCGCAGGGTCCGCAGGAGCCCCCCGAGGGGTTTGCCCCCCGCCTTCCTCAGACTGGCGCGCCGCACGTGCGTGGAGTGCATCGTCGGCCTGGCTGGCCAACATTCTCGAGCAGTGGCGAAGCGTCCTGGCTTGCCTATAGGCCCACCAAACAATGTTCTAAGAACCTTTTTGTGGTCTGCGCGAAATGTTCTTAGAACATTTCTGGCTGAGTCTGACTTGTTTGAACACATCGGGGTTTTATTCTGGGTTCTAAGAACATTACGTGGTAGGCCTGTAGGAATGCCAGGACGGCCGGTCCCTGCTCAGCATTCAGCTCATCAGCGCCGAAGCGGGCTGTGAAGTGCGGTGCCGCGATGCCAGAAGCCGGCCCAAGGGTGGTCAGTGCAGCTGGGGACGTGCCAACTGTCTGTTGAGGCAGTCGGTCCAAGAGGCACCCAAGAGGGCCAAGAGGCCCAAGAACGCGTCAAGAGGAAGCGTCCAGCGGGCGCCAAGAGGCCCAAGAAAGCGTCTAGAGAGCCTCCAAGACGCCTCAAGAGGCCCCTAAGACGTCCACAGAGGGTCCCATCGGCCATCATAGCCTCTAGACAACCCAGGACGCCTTCATGAAGCCCCAATTCGCCCAACCACACAACCTTCCACAAAGGGTCGGCAGATCTGGCACCAGCCCAATGGCCGACCATCCGGTGCATCAAAGAACCTGTCAGCTCGGCTGCCACAACCCCAGACGGTCTTCTTACGTTCTCGACCTCTTGTTCGATCGTTCCGCGACCACTCCTGTGTGCGCTCTCGCCCTCACCGGCCTGGCCGACCAGACGGATGATCTTCTCCACAGCGTGCGACAGTGTTCCAGCTCGCCCGACTTCGCGCATCGCGCTGCCCCAAGCGCAAAGCGGCCCCCCAGGACCAGGCCGCAGAGCGGGAAGTGCGCTATCTTCGCACCCCCGCGGGTGACTCGGGCGGGTGGTGATGGGGGGTGACCCAACTGGGGGGCCTGCCGTCGCTCGGACGTCCATTTCCCGTGCGTTTTTCGGTTTCGTGAATTTTTTTTCGCTCGATGACCCAGGATGTTCCTCAGGGGTCCTCGCCGAGAAAAACATACACACGTCCGAGCGATGCCAGGGGGGGTGAAAGACACGGCCCTACAGGGGCCCTCTGGGACCCCTTCGGGGCACCTGCTGGCTCCATAGGGGGCCTTCAGGGGCTCCGTTCGGGCCCTTTCCTTCACCCCCCCATTCGGGTCGCCCCCAGCTGCAACCCGCCCGAGTGACCCAGGGGAGGGAGCAGCACAGAAGCCGTCGCCCCCGGTGCGCCCCGGCTGCTGTGCCCGAGCCTGGCGAGCAACCTTTCGGACAACCTCCCGAACCCTTCCGCGCACAGTGCCCTCCTCACGCTTCACCGCGGGCCCCCTTCGACACGCCGGCGCCCTCCCACGCCGCGACCGAGGGAGCCGTCCAGACGTCCCCCCTGTGCCTCGCTGTGTGCCCCCCGCAGCGTATGTCGCCCCCCCCCGCCCTCCTGGCGAGCGGTGGCCCCTGGAGCCGTGCTCTCTCGGAGAGAGACATCCAGCACTCCTGGGCCCCTCGGCACATGGTGCCCTCGTGCTGGCCGTGGGCTCCTGGACACGAGGACGCCCTTCCGCACCCGCCCCACCGCCGTGCACCCCGCACGCGCGGCCCCTCGGCCTTTGGGTGGACGCGGCGGGGCTTCGCAGGAGGAGGAGGAGGAGAAGGCAGAGTAGGATGAGGAGGAGGAGGAGGAGGAGGAGGAGGAGGAGGACGAGGCCTGCGGGCCGCCTGGGCCCTCCGCCGACCACACGCGCAGCGACGCCCCCAGGAGCATCATCATGTCCACGACGGTCAGGCCTATGGAGAGGAGGATGATCATGTATGAGGATGGATGAGCACGGATGAGGAGGATCAGGAGCGACCGTAGCTTCAAGAGGAGGATCAGGAGGGGAAGGAGGACCGAGGAGGATGGGGGAGGAGGCTGCTGAGGATGAGAAGTGACGAAATTGGGAGGACGAGGAGAAGGAGGAGGAGAAGGAGGAGGAGAAGGAGGAGGAGGGGAGAACTGACGATTATGTGAGGGATGAGCATGAGGATGAAGCGACAGCGGACGACGACTCGACGACGATGGCAGGCCTATGACGAACACGGCCATCATGCACAGCGCCAGCGCGCTGCTGACCTCTCATCCTTCTCCCTGCTGTTGCTGCTCCTTCTAATCGTCGTCGTCCTCCTCCTCCTTCTCCCCGTCCTCCTTATCCTCCTCCTCCTCTTTCTCCTCCTCCTCCTCCTCCTCCTCCTCCTCCTCCTCCTCCTCCTCCTCCCCCTCAACATCGTCCCTACTCCTTTCTGATCGTCCTCACTCCTCATCCGCCCTTCCTTCTACCCCATCCTTCTTCTCCTCCTCCTCCTCCTCCTCCTCCTCCTCCTCCTCCTCCTTCTCGTCGTCCCCTCCCAGCTCCACAAGGGCTGGAACCCTGTCTGAGGACCGCTTGCTGCTGTCCATACGTCTGTCCAGGACGTTGGGCGGTTTTGCCAGTCGAATGTCCAGCCTGATGGAGTCTGATCGCCCGGGGTGGGCTCTCCAAGGTGCTGGGACGGCGCCTGTCCGGTCTGTTAGGTGCCAGGGGATCGCATGTCGGGAGGTCTGCCTGGAAGTCGTGCTGCCGTGCACAGCGATGGCCGGGTCTCGGCCGCGGGCGTCTGGTGGCAGTACGTCCCGAGCCTGGCTGGCAAGCTCGATCAATCACAGCGTTTTGGCTCTGCTGGCATGGAGCGGCTTCTGACGCGCGGGGGCCACTGGGCCGAACAGAGCAGGTTTGGAGCTGGCCACCGCACGGACAGCCAGCACCTTCACTACAGAAATGGTGCTGGAGCAAGTGCGCATCCCTGCTGGCAGTGTCCGTGCAGGACCTCTGGGCTCCCTCCCTCACGTGGCGGGTGCACCCTCCCCCTTCAGATGTTGTCGCCACGAACCGCTTGATCCCGAGACCCTCCAGGAGCTGGACCAAGGCCCGCTGTTGTGGTGCCATGGCATCGTCTCCCACTCCTGGCCCGAGCGGCCTTTTCCCCTTTCCTGGGCGAGGCCACGTCTGGAGCTGGCAGGGTGCTTTGACCGTGTCCTGCAGGCACTTGTTGGGTCGTTTGGCTCAGGAGGCACCCGGGGAAGGTCTCGCCCCTGAGGCGTATTGTGGATCTGCTGGATTCGATTCTTCTGATGGCCTCGAATGGGACTCGAGGTGCACGGGGGTGGCTGGCAGCCTCAATTCAGCGGTCGGTGCCGAGGGCCGAGCTTCTTGCGACTGTGGAGTGTGTTCGGGCTGTCGACCCGTGTGCCAATCTATTCATTTGGTGCGATCATGTCAGCCACGTCGGAGCACAGACAACAAGATGATCTTCACGGCTTCGTGCACGCTGGCTTGTGACATGAGACTCATGATCCGCTCTGTCTCCTGCATGCACGCGCAAGGTCGTAGGAGCTCCAGCATGTGCCGCCGTACTTGGCCGATGATGAGACGGAGCTTGCGCGTCTTGCCCTGTCGGCCCAAGACTTACCAGCCTCGAACGTATCCCTATCCCTAAGATTGACACGCCAAAAGGCGATGACAATCTTAGGGATTCGCCCTCAAACAGTAAGGGAATCCCTAAGGTTGGCATCGTGATGAGGAGGTGCCCAGCATAGGGATAGGGATGTGTTCCAGGCTGGTAAAAGACGGCGCCATGCCTGTGAATGCTGCAGCGGACGCTGCAGGCCGAGCCGCGCGCCCGGACCGAGAGCACTTACCTCCGCAGCACCTCCCTCTGTCGGGCCGCTCCGGCTGCCCCCCGCAAAACCCGAGCGACAGTTGCAGCCAGACCAGGCACCTCTAAATCGGGCCTGTCCCTCCACAGGAGGAGTCCTCAAACAATAATAAAAAATAGTACAGGGATGTTTTTTGTTGCCCATCTTTGACCGCTTTGGAATATGTTTTGGGTATCTTTTTATGCTTCGTCCAAAATCGGCCTGTAGGGGGACACGCCCGACCTAAAGTTGCCTGCCTCCGTCCACCGAGCGACCTGGCACCAGGCGGCCATGCAGGCTTCCGACCACTGTGTCCCCGCCCGCCGCCTCTCGCGGCCGGATGAAGAGGAGGAGGAGGAGGAGGGGAGTCTCTGGAGTCTCTGCCTGATCTCGTAGCGATGTGAGGAGGAGGAGGGGAGGAGGAGGGGGAGGAGGGGGAGGAGGGGTAGGAGGAGGAGGAGAGGGAGGAGGAGGAGGAGAGGAGGAGGAGGGAGGAGGAGGAGGGGGAGGGGGAGGAGGGGGAGGAGGGGAGGAGGAGAGGAGGAGGAGGAGGAGTAGGAGGAGGAGGAGGAGGAGGAGGAGGAGGAGGAGGAGGGAGGAGGAGGAGGAGGAGGAGGAGGAGGAGGAGGAGGAGGAGGAGGAGGAGGAGGAGGAAGGAGGAGGAGGAGGAGGAGGAGGAGGTAGGAGGGGCACGCCACGTGCCAAAAGCGTGACCCAGACGAGGCCCGGCAGCCCGCGACGCTCGCGGAGGGCGCCGCGCTCTGGCCCTGCCGCCTGGCCGCCCGTCCACGAGCTCTTCCCGAAGGAGAGGGGGGCGAAGGGCCTGGGAACAGTCGGCGGCGCGTTTTGAGCCAGGGGGGCCCGCCCCTAAGAGGCCCCAGGGGAGCCCAAGACGCCGCCAAGGAGCCCCAAGACGCTCCCAAGAAGCCCCCAAGAGGCTCCCGAGACGGCCCCAAGACGGCCCCAAGAGGCCCCAAATAGCGCTCCAGGGCCGGCGGAATGAGCGAATCGATTAAATAATTTCGGCATTGTCGACGAAGCCTCTTGGAGCGTCAACGGTGCCTCTGGGGGCCCCCCGAACATTCCATCTCGGCGCCGTCGAACAGAGCCAGGGGGACGCCCCTCCCCCCTCTCCCCCCCGCTCCCGAACAACCCCCCCCTCCTCCAGGAGGCGGAAGGGGGTTCGACCCCCCCCCCCCGCGAGAAGGGGGGGTTCAACCCCCCCACCCCACCCTCTGGCGCCGACGGCGGCGGCGGCTGCGGGGAGGGAGAGACGGCGGGGGAGGTGGCCTTGTCTGATGTATGTTTGCGGCTTCCGCTGGTTGAGGGTTGTGTGTGTTGCCCGCCTCGCATTGCCCGATCCCCCTGTGAGGTTGGAAGCGGGGCTGGGCCGTGCCAGGAAGCTGATGCACCCCTCCCACATCCCCTGGAGGAAAGATGCCTACTGCTTTTATTCTAGTGCATGTGGAAGATGTGCCGATTGAAGTCCAGGATACCGCACTCATGCACCAGAGGAAACGGTTGCCGCCCAGGTGCGGGGCTAGTGGATGAGGTCACTGTGCAAGTGGGAACTATGCTGCATTCTGCAGACCATGCCTTGTGCTCCCTCTTGTTTGGTGGAGTGGTGGGATTGATCTGCAAGTATCGCGTATCATGTCAGCCAGCTGGTGCGTATGCAACTTGCTGCTTCTGGCAATAATGCCCTCCTATATCATTTCTCCCTTCCCCGTCCTCCTCCTCCTCCTCTTCCTCCTCCTGCTCCTCCTTCTCCTCTTTGGGGGAAGATGGGGGGAGGAAGAGGAAGATGAAGAAACGGGACGGGGGGTCGGGCGGAGGGGAGGAAAAGGGGGATTGAATACGGACGAGCGAGCAGGACGGGGAACAGTGATAAGGATTGATAAGGGAAGGGGGGGAAGGATGCTGCGTTTCTTCTCCTCCATTCCTTTTTTCTTATCAGCAACATCTCCCTGTCGCACCTCGAGGCCTGTTTTACGGCGGGCTGGGCGTTTCGCCTGACTTCCTCACCATGTATGACCCTGAGGCTTAAACGTTGGCAGCAGTGTCACAAATGGAAGGCGGGTCGTTTTCAACATGTGGCTCCCGCCTTAGCGCCGCACGCATTCGTTACATGTGCAAGAGCTTCGCGGATTGAGGGCGGCTCCTTTTCAAAATGTGGTTCTCGCCGTAGCGCCGCGCATATTCGTTTGTTCCCAACCATCCTGTGTTGTTGGGTCTTCGTTTTGAAGGGACGTCGCCCCGCGATCCTCACCTCCTCCTCGTCCTCCTCCCCCTTCCCCTCTCCTCCCGTCATCATCATCATCACCACCACCACCATCATCATCATCATCATCATCAGCAGCATCAGCATCATCATCGTCATCAGCATCATCGCCATCAGCGTCATCATCATCATTATTATCAGCATCATCATCATCGTCATCATCATCATCATCATCGTCATCATCATCATCACGGCCGTCATCATCACCAGCATCATCACCCTTGTCGGCACACCCCTCGCACGCTTCGTGGCCCCATAAGGAGCTCTACCGAAGGCCCCAGTGCCACCGCCCGCATGCGTCCCCCACACCCATTTCGGCACATCCCTCACACGTTTCGTGGCACCATATGGAGCTTCACCGAAGGCCCCAGTGCCACCGCCCGCATGCGTCCCCCACGCCCATTTCGGCACACCCCTCACAAATTTCGTAGCCCCATGAGGAGCTCCACCGAAGGCCCCGGTGCCACCGCCCGCATGCGTCCCCCACACCCATTTCGGCACACCACTCACACGCTTCGTGGCCCAATAGGGAGTTCCATCGACAGCCCCAGTGCCACCGCCCGCATGCGTCCCCTACCGCCAGGTCGGCAAACCCCTCGCACGCTTCGTGGCCTCATAGAGAGCCCCACCGAAAGCCCCAGTGCTACAGCCCGCATGCGTACCCCCCCCACCCACACACACACACACGCACGCACGCACGCACGCACGCACGCACGCACGCACGCACACACGCACACGCGCACACGCACACACGCACACACGCACACACACAGACACAGACACAGACACAGACACAGACACAGACACAGACACAGACACAGACACAGACACAGACACAGACACAGACACAGACACAGACACAGACACAGACACAGACACAGACACAGACACAGACACAGACACAGACACAGACACAGACACAGACACAGACACAGACACAGACACAGACACAGACACAGACACAGACACAGACACAGACACAGACACAGACACAGGCACAGACACAGACACAGACACAGACACAGACACAGACACAGACACAGACACAGAGACAGACAGAGAGACAGAGAGACAGAGAGACAGAGAGACAGAGAGACAGAGAGACAGAGAGACAGAGAGACAGAGAGACAGAGAGACAGAGAGACAGAGAGACAGAGAGACAGAGAGACAGAGAGACAGAGAGACAGAGAGACAGAGAGACAGAGAGACAGAGAGAGAGAGACAGAGAGAGAGAGAGAGAGACAGAGAGACAGAGAGACAGAGAGACAGAGAGACAGAGAGACAGAGAGACAGAGAGACACAGAGACACAGAGACAGAGAGACACAGAGACACAGAGACACAGAGACACAGAGACACAGAGACACAGAGACACAGAGACACAGAGACACAGAGACACAGAGACACAGAGACACAGAGACACAGAGACACAGAGACACAGAGACACAGAGACACAGAGACACAGAGACACAGAGACACAGAGACACAGAGACACAGAGACACAGAGACACAGAGACACAGAGACACAGAGACACAGAGACACAGAGACACAGAGACACAGAGACACAGAGACACACACACACACACACAGACACACAGACACACAGACACACACACACACACACTCACACACACAATTTCGGCACACCCCTCACACGTTTGGTGGCCCCATATGGAGCACCACCGAAGGCCCCAGCGCCACCGCCCGCATGCGCCCCCCACGCACACTTTGGCACACCCCTCGCACGTTCCGTGGCACCATATGGAGCTCCACCGAAGGCCTCAATGCCACGCCCATTTCGGCACACTCCTCACACGCTTCGTGGCCTCACAGGGAGCTACACCGAAGGCCCCAGTGCCACCGCCCGCATGCGCCCCCCACACCCATGTCGGCACACCCTTCACACGTTTCGTGGCCCCATAGGGAGCTCCACCGAAAACCCCAGTGCCACCGCCCGCATGCGTCCCCCACGCCCATTTCGGCACACCCCTCGCACGCTTCGTGGCCCCATAAGGAGCTCCGCCGAAGGCCCCAGTGCCACCGCCCGCATGCGTCCCCCACGCCCATTTCGGCACACCCCTCACACGCTTCGTGGCCCCATAGGGAGCTCCACCGAAGGCCCCAGTGCCACCGCCCGCCTGTGTTTCCCACGCACATTTCGGCACACCCCTCACACGTTTCGTGGCCCCGCAATGAGCTCCACCGAGGGCCCCAGTGCCACCACCCGCATGCGTCCCCCACACACGAATGTCGGCACACCTTTCACACGCCTCTTGTCCCCATAAGGGGCTCCACCGAAGGCGCCAATGCCACCGCCACCATGCGTCCGCCACACTCAACGTTTCAGAGAACAGCTCCAGACCTCTGGGGAGGAGGAGGCGGAGGAGGAGGAGGAGGAGGCCCGCTCCCCCCCGTATGTATGTTGCTTTGCATTCGCGGGAGATTCCATTCCACCGGCGAAGGTCATTCCAGTGTTCTCGCTGCGGTCGGTGTAAACGAGCGGTGGAGGAGTGGCCTGGTGGATGTCGTCGTCGCCGTCGTCGTCTTCGTCCGGCGGCGGCTCCTGACCTGAGGAGCGCCCCCCCCCCGCGAGCCGCGCCTTCTCTCAACTGCCCAACTAATTGTTCGGCCTCGCGCCGCGGACGACCCGCGCGCGTCGCTGGGACCCTCCCGGGGCGACCAGCGCGCGTAGCGGGAACTCCGTGCTGCGCTCTTCCCTGCGCCTCGCTCGCCCGTCGTCGCTTTGCCCAGCGGTCAGAGCCTTGCCCGCTATCAGTCAGCCAGCTAGCTAGCTAGCTAGCTAGCTAGCTAGCTAGCTCTCTTTGCTCCGCGCAGCGGACGACCCGCGCGCGTCGCTGGGACCCTGCTGGGGCGACCGGCGCGCGTCGCGGGGTCTCCGCGCCGCGCTGCGCCCGCAGCTTTGGACTTTGGAGCGCGCGGGCAAAGAGGGAGGAAAAGAAGGGAAGGAAGCGGGCGCGATCCTCGTGAGGGGCACGCCGACATGGGCGTCGCGGCGTGCGGGCGCTGCCGCCTGGGTTCCCGCGGAAGCTTTCTGCGGCGGCCACGCTCAGTGTCACGAGTGCGCAGACAGGCATACCCGAACCATTCTCATTCATATACATTTGCACGAGGCGTAGCCATGATCGCACTCGTGCATTATATATATATATATATATATATATATATATATATTTTATATAATATATATATATATATATTCGTTCGCACGCAGACTCATTCACACTTAGACCCATTCGCGCTCAGAACCACCCGCGCTCAGTCTCTCGTAATTCGACCAATCGTTTTCCTTCGTGTTGTGCACCCCCCCACATTTCGGCACGCCCCTCATACGGTTCGTGGGCACCACCGACGAAGATATTCACAAGCGCAGTACTCACAACTGCATATGGTTGGGTCCTTCGCCAGGATAATTGAAAAGGTTGCAAGAGCTTCACGGATTGAGGACGGTCCCTTTTCAAAATATGGTTCTCGCCTTAGCGCCGCGCGCATTTTTCAAAACATTTGCAAGAGTTTCACGGCATGAGGTCGGCCCCTTTTTCAGAATGTGGCATTCGCCTTAGCGCCGCACGCACTCGTTGCTTACATTTGCAAGCGTTCCACGGATACCCATGATCAGCGTAACAGAACTGGTGTGTTGGAAGGATTCAAGGTTTTGAGGGCGCAACAATTACGTTGATTCGCGGTGTTGAAGTCCGAAGAGCGGCGTTCTGGAGCGATTCAGGATCGTCAAGACGCGACAGTCAGGTTGATCCATTGTGCTGGAATCCCGAAAACAATGTTTGGGCATGCTTCAGGGTCTTCAAGCGTTTGTCTTCCAACGAGGCACTTCCCTCAGTGAAAATGAACCCTTGTATG